ACACACAAAATATCCTAACTTATACCCATCTGGTAGCAAACTACGCTGTTCAATTTCATACCCAAAACCAGATTAAAATTCGGTGTTTAAATAGGTTTCTATTTGTGAGGTTTTTCAAGACCATGAAATGTTTACTCATGATACCACGTAGCCTTCAATTTAGTAAAGTTGCCTACCACACTGACAGCACAGTTATATCAAGCAACGGTGGAGTATCGACGAAAAACGTGTCCGGATATTTAGCTGGTACCTGTTCTATCAGTAAAGTCGTAATGGTGAACACGATAGAGGCATTCAAACGCATCCTGGATGCATATTCGCTCGATAGATACCGTTCCTAGGCACAGGAGAGCATCGTTAGCGGACACAAACGCTTTGTTCACAGATAACAAAATTGTACATGTGCATATGCTACTCACTTTTTATGGTAACATATTTTATGTTGGATATTTTACGTTAACTGTTTTCAATAGGGTCTTCAAAGATATTGCCTACTGTCCTTAATATACCGAACCATGCTGAACTAATTGCACAGTTTCTGCTAATGTCTGACTGCTGCCTGCTTAGGAATATTACGTGGTTATTCCGCAGCGGCTGATGGTCTTCAGCATTAATATTTGCATCAAATTTCCTGTTTTCCTAGAGAACCTAAATCTACCGTTCTTCATCAAGTTCAGAGATTATGTTCTAAGGCAATTAAAAATATGAGACGCTCTAAACTGCACTTTTTAATGTTCCAACTCTAAACATGCCTTAAACTATCGTGCCGGGCGCTGTAGTATAAAAATTTAAGTGTCATATTGCAAAATTACCCTTGAAAAGAACTGGTCTTAGGTAACGCATGAGCACATACACAATTGTCAATAGAAGTGAATATGCGAGTTTCAGTAGGCAGTTCAGAAGAAGGCTATGCGACCACTAGAACAAGAGTTTTCTTTTCCTGACGTTTCGAATTCCGTCGGGAGTCCTTAATCATAGGTAAGGGTAGGTTAGTCTGAGTCATGCGCAGATAGGGGTAAAACTTGCGCAGATAAATACATTAGAGTTTGCGCATGTTTCACCCCTATCTGTGCATGACTCAGACTAACCTATCATTACCTATGATTCAGGACTTCCGATGGAATTTGAAGCGTCCGGAAAATAAAATTCTTTTTTCCAGTGGTCATATCGTCTTCATGTGACAAACGTAATTGTTATTTCTGCGAAAATTCATATATTAACGGTAAAAGGTACTCGCGCCAAACGGCTGCTTTCGATCACTCACCAGCAGGCCTTTAAATTGACATTTAAAAAACTAATTAGCCAATTATAGACAGGGCTGATATGCTTCTTGGTGTTGTGAGAGGGATGATTCGCCATCCCTTCGAAGCCCGTCTCTTGCATGACGTAGTCGGAGTGCGGTGGATCGAGGGAACGTCCTCAACAGGGGGGAATGGCGGCGTCTCTAAACTGTGACCTCCACTTTCAGGCATGAACAGGCCTGACCCTAGCGTGACAGTGATTTAGCAAACAGATGAACCATGTTTTACATGACGGGTCAGAACGTTCAGGTAAGAGCAAGAATTTTTTTCACATAATACCGCCTCAAACCTGGTTCAACGTGAGTCGTTGCATGTCACCCTAATTCCCCCCCCCTGCCGAGAAATAATCAGCGCTTTTGACCAGCTGTGATTTGGAGAGCTGTTACTCCTCGGTTGTAGTTTAAAGGCTTTTAATGTATGATCGTTCATTATGTAAAATCCCTTAACAGCTAGCAGGTGTTTTGCATTTGTTGTCAGTAGGTATCTTCGGTGCAGACTCTAGCGGTCAAAGGATAGCAAATACTAAATAAATTCGCCCTGATGGATGACAGAACAGGTTTTCACTTTGTGTCATCACGAGAGCGCACCTGAGCAGCGGTGTGTCAGTATAAGTCCGTTCGACAGCGGCATGAGTAGGTAGATAAGCTGAGTAATGTTGATTACTGATTATCTGTTGCGTGTACTGAGTCTGCGTTACATGCCGTCCAACGCGTTCTTATCGACCTCTACACACATGGAGCACTGTGGGACCTAATAATGCGCTCAACTCATCGTCGATTCACTGCTTGAGGCGCAAGTAAGCTCGAGTCAATCGATGCACGCTGTGCCGTTTGATTGGCCTTAAGGACACAACTCGCAGTCAAAGCCTCCTAGCAAAAGCAAACACCACGAGTAATACAAGACAAAGCAGGAGTAAACTGGTAAAGAAACGGAATGCCAAGGGTCTGAAGGGGTTTCAGTCCAGTTTGCACCGGTATTTACGTGAAACTTTAGGTGTCACCACCTATCACAGTAGAAAAATCACTAGACAAACAGAAACAAATTCAAGTGGACCCAATTGTGAAAAACTCGAGGCGTTTGGCGGGATTTGAACCCGTGCATCAGAGAAGACCTTTGCCTGAGGTCAATGCTCTAACCGCTAAGCAACAAACGCCCTGCCTCGCGCCGTGAATTTAATCACACTTGGGTCGATATTACCCGCCCAACTTTGCTCATATGGAATCCACAGTAAGCTGACTGCCCAAGCAGGATTTCCTAAGCAATCATCTCGAATCCACCAGAATGA